CACCAAGGGTGACAAGGTTATACCATACTTAATTGAATACTTCACACAACTTCTCCCACAATTTTGTGATCAAAGACGTGGGTGCATAAATTTAACAGTCCATGATCAAAAATACAACTGCCTACATGGCCTAACTGTGAAAGTGTACTGAGTTGAAAACAATTCCTCCTATTTATAAGAGGTTCTTAGCATTTTCTTCAAACTGAAGATTTTATAATAATGCACAATTTTTGACGTAAATACGTCTATATTTTAAGGTCAGTGTCATTCGGCAAAAAGGGAAACGAAAAAGTGTAACTTCATTGTTATGTTACCTTGGAAACGTCAATTGTTTACTCAGCATTATTGTTACCTAGGAAACTTCATCTGTTTATCAACAAATCGACAATAATGGTTACCTAGGAACCGTTACATTACCTTACGTTACTTTACATTACCTTACATTACATTCAGCTACCACAGACCCATAAATAAGCAAAGTCTTAATCAAACTTTACTCAATTGTAAAGCGGGTATAAAGGAAATATTTAGAATAAAGCCAATATATAAACTTCCTTTCCGTATAGACGTATTTACGTCAAATTCTCCGGAACCGTGGTTCCACTGACAACTTTTTTGATACAGCATTCATTCACCTCAGGACTTCTTTTGTTATACAATTATTTAAGTTAGGAGAATCCAACTAGTCAATGCCACACTACTAAATAGTGTTTCTGGGCTCCAAACACCTTTCTTTGGACGCACATTTCTCTTATTCTGCAATAATAATGATCAAGCAACTTTGGAATGTTTCTTGTGGAACATGTATAGTGCAATTCTACATTTTAATTATCTCCAGTTTTTACTTTACATAGTCCATTCTAAACCTGTAATACAGCAAACTGTGATGCACAAGCCTAGAAGCCTGCAAGAGATAACCAAAGTGAAAAAGCACATGTACTACAGTGAAAAATACATTTTCCAAATGCACTTTTTGCAATTTTGAATATTTCACTGTTCTTGGTGTTCATTTATTACAGACAGAAATATATTCATGCAAAACTAATTTCTCTACAGACATCAAACTGCAAAGTTCAAAGTCTGGACAGCCGGCTTCCAAGTAAAGAACAGAATGCAAGATGGGAGTTCATACAATAACTATAGCATGTGTAGCTGTTGCAATGTATCTCACCAGAAGCCAGAATACTATTACATGTATGCATGTAATCTTTCCTCGTAAAATTGTCCTTATTAAGAGCTGTAGTAGCCTGTTCTTTGACAAATGTCTTTACAGCATTCCAAAATACTTACCACTTGACAGTTATACTCCAGTTGTGGCGGATCCAGTGTATGAACTTCTACTGTCTCAAATTGATCACTGAGAGAGAGACCAAACTCTTTCAGATAGGGGTCATCCTTGAATCTCGGTGAATTCATCTGAAATAGTACAGTTAATATGATCACTGGCTTTGTGTATGATTGAACACAAATATCTGTCATTGGAACAAAAAGGATTCTTTCAAATGATAATTTTGGTGCTCTCACCCTCAGCATCCCAAAAATAATAATACTGTTAACCCAACCATAAAACTTTCTTTGCTTCTATTTTTAGTGTGTGTGTAGAAAGGGGGAGGGGGGTCTTATATTTGTGAATAAAGAAAAATTGTAGACAAAAAAGATTGTAGCAATCTGTGAGAAAATAGATAATGGCATCTTGAGAATTTGAAACTTGTGCATCTACAGAAAATATCAATATGAAAATATTTCAAATACTGAAAATGTTTGAATTTTATAACTGTTACCATCATACTTGTATGAGTTTAATACAGTTTTATATTTCTCAAACTGTGGTTCTGCTTTTCATGTACATTCTGTGATGACACAACATACTTTAGACAGTACCCTTAACCCAATTACTTTCTCACTGTTCAAACTAAGAGTATGATCCTGGAACCAAAATCATTATTTCTAAATGTTCTCACATAAACACCCCATGTTCACACAGATTTTGAAACAGACTGCATCTGAAAAATGTGAATGGGCAGTCAACTTATGATTGTATGCTATTGTCATTGTCTCTGACCACTCAAAAAGTTGTACAAACTTTATAACTTCACACACTTATTTTATTTTACAATTTTTGGCAGCATGTTTCAAACTCTTTAGTCCATCATCTGGCCCCTTGACTTTTTACACACATTATAATTCTACATTATTTTGGTGCATTAACTGAATAGTCAATGTTGCATGCTTGTTATTATCTACATTAAAACATTTTAAAAAAATTAAAATAAATTTTGAAAATCATCTTACATTTATCTTGAGCAGTAATCATATATCACTGCTATGTATGTGTGTACTTGGATGCACATTTATTCTGTTGTTAAAATACTACCTCAACGTGATGCTTAAATATCACATTATGACCCTTAGTGGTAACTGTTAAGAACTGATTCAATGTCAATACTCAACATATATATGTAACTAATATTATTCATTTTAAAAGTTGTTTTTTCATGTTTACAATAACTATCCCCATCAATATGGGTATAATAAATCACGTGACATATGATAACAAAGACAACACTGAAATACGACAGATTTCATACACAGGTTTCTTCATTCTTGCAAACTGCATTTCTTGTTAATTTTAAATTAATGGTTATCAGGTATGTCAAAACACTAGTAATAGTGCAACATTTAAGAAATTTAGTATTTCTGTGTGTAATCGTAGGTACAAATTTTAACAAAACAGCATCATGTGGGCCTTAAATTGGTCACTGTGAAGGGATGGAGAAGAAACCATACATTATTCATCTGTGACACTCAAATCATATTCTGCTGCAATATCACCTCAGTCCAATAATACCAGTATCCTTTAAAATTAAACAAGTTTGGAAAAGTATGCACTGCATAACAATTCTGGCATGTTTACCAGAATTTGACCTTTAACTTTTGAACAGTAGCAGCAATTTCAGAGTCATCTGGGATATATAAAACTCACAAAGGCAGTGGTATACAGCACATGTCTGGCTGGGTGATTGCATGGGGATTCCCCCACAGATGTTCCATGCAGACTGACACACAGATATAGCAAGGCTAATAGGCACAGAGGCATGTCCAACAGTTTTAAAATTCAAACAAAATAAAATGGATGTGGTGGGGAGTCATAAGTGAAAATATTAACTATTGGATTAAACTACTAAGACATACTGCTTCTTGGATTTTGCGTTTCCTGTCATCGGTACTTGCTGCAGCTTGCTTTGTCAACTTAGATGTTTGTCTCACATCCATTTTTCTGTTTATCACTTGCCCTTTCGTCACACAGCATGACTGAAAAGAAATACAATAAATTTTGTAATAAGTACATAACATTAACATACAATTTTGGAAAATACCATTTGCTACTCACTTGTAAAACCATACTTGACATTTTTATAAATTCTCATCTAAAGCTTTGTTGTTTACAGTTTATTTAACAATACTCTTTCAGCTACACAGATCATGCAGCACTAAATGTTAGTATGGTTGTGAAAGAAGAATTCAGAAGGCTGCAGGATAAAATTGTTCTGGCATATCACAAAACTACTATCCAACATTTGCATGGTGGAAATGAGGTAAAGCAGTCAAACAAGAATATGACCCTCCGAGCCAAGAATCAAACCTGTCACTCCTAAATGCAACACACAATTACTAACAAGTGAAGTGTGATATTGTCACTAAAAGGAACGGACACTGGTATGTCCCAGCAGCCATAAGATTTAGCAACATGTAAAATAGTGACAGAATTAAGAAAGCACATTTTGTAGGCAATAAGCAGGTTGGACCAGCAGGCATTTGCTGAAATGTAGAAGTCAGCACCAGCAAAGTACAAAAAGAAGTAGAAATTAGATCATGATGTTCACATCACAGACAGACAACACAGTCACAAGCACGACTGCTGTAAGATTCAATCAGTAATACAATTAGTGAAGATCGCGCCACCCATCACCCAAAGAGAACAAGTCGTGGACTTTGCAGTATGTTGGTAACTGATCTGTTTCACCAGTAAGCGAATTCTGGAACTGACCTGCCATGTGTAAAAAGGAGAGCTACAAACACACCTTAGGGAATTAACATCACTTAGCAGCACAGAATTACAGGGCTAGGAGCCAAATCTCACCGACATTAGTGGAGACATATGGAGATAATCTTTGTTCTTCTTAACGCAATTCACTCTTCTTGATACCGTTATCCTTACAATACACAAGGGATGTTCAACAAAGACTGAAAATGATTTTTGTAAAGTGTTTGCAAGTCTTGATGGAACTTTCATTTACAGTGGTTGGTCACACTGACAGGTGTGAATCAGCATATGCAGTTACAGTTTGCTGTGTGTTTAGTTGTGCTTATGCTGTGACCCTGACGCCTGTCTCACCTCCAAAGTCAAGCATCCATCATGTTGGATATTAAAGTAGAACGTGCTGCCCTTAAATTATGTTACCACATAAAAAAACTGCAAGTAAAGCACACAATTTCTTAAAAGAAGTTTACTGGGAAAATGTTTTCCCTCAATCAACAACACTAATGGTTCAAAGAAGGATGGGAGTTGTCCAAGAAACTGGGTGGGCAGGATGATCCAGCGTAGCAGTCGGTATAGTGACTGGCTACGGACTGGGCGACCGGGGTTCGATCCCCGACGGGGGCAGAGGATTTTTCCTCTAGCCTCTGCGACCAGACCGGCTCTGGGGCCCACCCAGCCTCCTCTACAATGGGTACCGGGGTCCTTTCCCGGGGGGAAAGCCGGCCCGGGCCCAAGCGCTTACATGGCGTATAGTGGGACAGCTTTACTTTACTGGGTGGGCATGGAGCTCCTTGAACTGTAGTTAATGACGTGACTATGAACATCACCTCTGTTGTAGAGCATGAAGACCAATGATTTAACATTAGAAAGTTGTCTGATGCTCAAAATATATGTATGGAGTGTACACACTATCATGAAGGATTATATGATCATGTCCTGTATCTGTGTGAGATGGATTCTTCAACTGCTGACACCCAAGCAACAAGTGAACCATGCTGAAGTCTACCAGCTGTGGAAATCTTGCAAACAAATTTTGGAAACAAGTAGTTACAAAACAGGTAATGAAACATGGAATAGGATGTATAATCCTGAGAGTAAGCAGCAAAGCACCCAGTGGGTCTCCACAAGCTCACCGAGACCAAAAATACCTCATGTCTCAATCTGTAGTTACTGTTCTGGCAACAGTGTCTTATGGAATGATTTACATGCAGACAGTACCACCTGAAACAACTATCACTCGAGCTTACTACTGTTCAGTTCTCAAAACCCTCATGGACTACATCAGAAGAAAATGACCAGAGCTTGTTGGACACTGGATGCTTCATCATGACAATGCCAGACCACACGTTGCAAATACTGTCATTCAAGTTTTGAGAAGTAAAGGTGTTCAGTGCATCCCCCACCCTACCTACAGCCCAAAACAGGCACCTTACCTCACATACCAAGAGACCAGAATGGCTACATTATAAAAAATACCCCATATGTTGATTTTCCCCTCCTGAAGGCACCATCAAAGACAGAGTCTAGGAAAGTGGTAATGGCAAGGAAGGTGGCAGCCTACCAAAGGGTGATCTCATAGTAATGCTGAGGGGTAACCAAGGGTCCTAGCATTAGGTGGCCACAGTACAACACGGCTAGAATAATCCAACAACACGTGGTAGCAATGCACCACAGCTCTGCAAAAGGTACCAGCACTGCTGCTCCACAGCAAATTTTGAACATAATTAAATACTCATGGCAGAAAAATTACGACAAGGACAAAAAATTACATAAACATTATGTTTTGCGGGAATGTGCCAATTTACAGAAAAAAATAACTAAGAAGTATATACTGCCTACATTTACTGGACATTACTATATGACTTGTCTCTTACTAAATCACCAATATATGAAAATGGCCGTCTTCTGGGTTGTGCCATGCTGTCTATGTTTCAGAGGTCTTTGCTGCATTGCCCTGATGACGAAGGCAGCAATGACCTCTGAAATTCCAGTAAACTTCTACCAGACTACACACCACTATGACCCAGAAGACTTACTTGCCCTGTGAAAACCTAAAAACCTACTTAATATATGGTCACGATATTTTAATTTGCTGCTTTTCTTTTTTAATATAAAAATGAATGATACTTGAGTCAAATGTAGTCTTCTCGGCTCTGATGTTGTGTAGTCTTATAGGTGGTTACCAATTTTTTGGAGGAATGCCTCTCCATCTTTGGGGTTAAAGTGATGATGGAGGTAATATGTTCGTCTGAAGCATTTTTAACTTTCTGTAGGACTACATGACATCACAACTCACAATACCACAATCAACATTTTCATCATCATGAGAACTTCAAATCTGAAGTATAGTTGGAAAATCACTAAAACCGTATTGTTTCAAGAACATAAAAGAACTTCCGGTGAAATATCACGCCAACAAAAAGGCATGGATGACCACAGACATCTTTACGGTGTTTTTAAGTTCTCTGGATGCCTCCATGGGCGCACAAAGCAGAAAGAATTTGCTGTTTGTAGATAATTGTGCCGCTCATTCGAAGGACACGACATTTCTACGAAATGTGAAAGTCGTGCAGTATCCAGCAAATTGCACGAGCGTCTTGCAACCGCTTGATTTGGGCATCATCAAGTCTTTCAAGTAGTTGTATAGAAAGCGCCTTGTGCAAACAGCTGTCTGTGTAATGGATGCTGGGAAGGATGTCGACATGAAAATTGACGTGCAACAAGCAATTCATTTCACAGTGGCAGCTTGGCGGCAAGTCTCCCAACCAACTGTTGTGAATTGTTTTCGCAAAGGTGGCTACGGGTATGAACTTCGCGCAGAAGCAGACTCTAAGGTCAGTGTGGATGAAGAGGAGGATGAGCATGATGGCTTTCACGAAGACTGGAATTGATTTGGCGCCGTGAAAGACATGATTAAATTTGGTGATTACGCGGCAGTAGTTCAGGAATTAAAACGAGAAGCTGAGAATAGGGAAAACTGGCGAACGCTTTTTGGGCAGAAGAATGAACCTGTCGTCAGACAGGACACTAAATAATAATGAAGACAGTGAGCTTGCCACATGCGGAGTCGACACCATTGATGAGTTGTGTGAAAATCGCGAAGGGGTTGGGAGCGGTGAGGAAGAGGCAGACGACGAATGCGAGCCTGAAGCTGTGCCGAGTTTTGCCGAAACACATGCTGCATTGGTAAAAGGGAAGTCGTTTTTTTATGGGCATAACATTAGTGAACGTGAAAGGGCTCTGTTTGGCCTAAAACGTAAAGTTTCGACAAATCAGTTGTCCATTAATGACTTTTTTGTAAAAAGAAGTAACTTTGAAAGAGAAACATTGTTTTTTTTTAAAATTTTTTAATGCTTTCCCACAACTATCGTTTTCCAGTATTCATCGTTTTTTTCCCACCCCCGCCAAAAACGATGCATCGAGGTTTCACTGTATTGGAGCCAATCAGTATAGTGACTAGCTATGGGCTCCGTGACAGTTTCGATCCCTGATGAGGACAGAGGATTTTTCCTCAAGCCTCTACGTCCAGACCGGCTCTGGGTCCCAATCAGCCACCTATTCAATGGGCACTGGGCTCCTTTCCCGGGGGTAAAGCGTGGTCAGGGCTTGATGTCACCACTCACCCCCATCTAGTGCTGAGGTCAAGAAAGAGTAGGAGCTATATACAACCTCTCCCCCCAAGCGACATTGTGGCATGTGCTTTACTATTATTGTGTGGTATTAATTCCCATAACATATGTTTAAACACTCCGGTATTCATGCTTCGAGGACCAGTGATGCAAAAGATTCACCATTATACTTGTCAGGTTCTGTATTATTAATAGTTGTTATTAACTGAGCTCTTTTACATACCATGGATGTTTCTGTGGTTGCAGTATTTTCAATTTGGATGGCATTTAACTCTGTGCCATGTCAAGATAGCAGACAGTGGAAGAATTGGTGGTCTGTTTCAAAGTAAATAAGGAATTGTTATATGGATGCAAGTAACTGAGATAGCAATGAAAATGAATCTGGAATTAGCAGTGGAACCCTTCGCCATTAGTACTAAAATCATTAGAAAAAGGCTAGCAGGGATGGGAAAAAGCAAATCAGTAGGGCCTGACAGCATTTCTGGGGAAATTCTAAAATTGGGTGGGGAAGCCATGATTCCATACCTGGCGCGATTATTGGACGTAACAATTAATAATGCCACTATACCAAGGGACTGGAAAAAAGCCATAGTGGTTCCTATTTACAAAGGAGGTGATCGATCATTGGTCACAAATTACAGACCGGTCAGTTTAACATCGGTGGTCTGCAAACAAATGGAACACGTTATAGCATCGTACCTGAGGAAAAACTGGGAGGAAAAGAATTGGTTATTCGAGGGTCAACATGGGTTCAGGCCGGGATATTCATGTGAAAGTCAAGTAATCACGGTTTGTCAGGACATTGCAGACACACTGGATAACGGAGGAAGGTTAGACGCGATTATAATCGATTTTTCGAAGGCCTTCGATTTAGTTCCTCACGATCGGCTGCTTATGAAAATCGCGGCATCGGGCGTGGACTCGAGGATAGTCGTATGGATAAGAGAATTTCTTTTAGGCCGAACGCAGAGAGTTAGAGTAGGAGGGCAATTATCAGAGGAAGTCAGAGTAACATCAGGAGTACCGCAAGGGAGTGTATTGGGTCCACTTCTATTCCTCGCGTACGTAAATGATATTTGGAGGAACATTGAATCGACTATTAGACTTTTTGCAGATGACTGTATAATATATAGGAAAATTATAAATAGTAAAGATATAGAAAAGATGCAGATGGATCTAAACAGTCTGGGGGAATGGGCGGCTGAATATGTTATGAAAATTAACCCAAGTAAAAGTAAGGCAGTTAGTTTCACGAGAAGTCGGGTGAAGGAACCACTAAACTATTCGTTACGGGACCAAATAATTCCGGAAGTGAGCAGTTGTAAATACTTGGGAATTATCTTAAGCAGCGATTTAAGCTGGGCTGATCAAGTAAATTATACGGTAAAAAAAGCCTGGAAGGCACTTCATTTTACAATGCGTGTTCTCAAAAAGGGGAATAGTAACACTAAAAGTCTAGCCTACACATCACTAGTGCGTCCGATTCTGGAATATGGGGCGGCGTGCTGGGATCCTTACAGGGAGGGGCAGATAAATGCGTTAGAACGGGTGCAAAGGAAAGCATGTAAATTTGCATATCACAGGAGCGATTCGAACTGGGAAACCCTGGCACAGCGTAGAAAGATAGCACGAATATGTGCTCTCTTCAAGGCGTACACGGGAGATCGGGCATGGAAAGCTATAGGTGTCAGATTGCAAAGGCCATACTACCTGAGCAGAGTCGATCATATTCGGAAAGTTAGGAGCAGAAAACAAAGAACAGATATCGGAAAATATTCCTTTGTAAATAGGACCATCCAACTCTGGAACCAGCTACCTGCTGAGGTTTTAGGGACTCTCTCCTGTAAACCAAGTACGTTTAGGAAGAAGGTTAGGAAAGTGATAAATGAGGTGAAGTAAAGGGAATAGATGGGTGGGTGCAGTGAAGGGGGGTAAATTGGGGTGAGGATGGGAAGGCTTCATAAGTGTAGTGAAGTGTAGAGAAGGCCCTGATGAAATGTGAGTGCATCAGTTCATGACGTATGTAATTCATTTCTGTTACTATCTTATGTCTAGTTGAATTTTTAAGTTATGTACTTTAGGTTATACAGTTTTGTAATATTATGAGTTGTTTTATTTTGAGTGTGGTGTGTTGTTTTGTTGTGTCTTATTGTTCTTGTTGTGCCTTATGTTTTTTGTGTCTCATTGTCTTTGTTGTGTCATGTCTTTTTGTCTTACTGTATTGTTGTGTCTCATTGCTTTGTTGTGTCTTATTGTTCTTGTTGTGCCTTATGTTTTTTGTGTCTCATTGTTTTGTTGTCTTATTGTTTTGTTGTGTCTTATGTCTTTTTGTCTTACTGTTTTGTTGTGTCTCATTGTTCTGTTGTTTCTTATTGTTATTGTTTGTGTTGTCTTATGTTTTTTGTGTTATTGTTTTGTTCTGTTTCATTGTTCTCTTGTTTCTTATTGTTTTTGTTGAAATTTACAAGATATAATCTATTTACAAATCATTTGATTTTAAGAAATTGGGGGGTATGTATTCTTGATAACAAATTGGTGTTTATGTAACTAGTGTTCATGTATGTAGTTGTTAATGTTCTCTCTGTGTTCCTTTACACTGTAGTATCTAAATCATTCATGTATGTGGATTAGCTCAGGAAATATTTTTTTCTCAAAAAGGCAGCTTCTTAAAAAGTGACAGGTCCTTGAAGTATTAAGAGTGAAGAATATAATCTAGTGAACTGTAAAAATATATGTTCAATAAACAGGTTTTGCGTGAAGAGTTGAATGCAATTCGATGTGCCTGTTCGTCATTGGAACAAGGATACAAACCCAAAGTGACATTCTTGGTGGTACAGAAACGTCACCACACTCGGTTCTTTCCAAGCCCTGAGGATGCAGATGGAAGAAATAAGAATGTGCCACCTGGTACAGTAGTTGACCGTGAAATTACTCACCCCATTGAAGTGGACTTCTATCTGGTTAGCCATGCCAGCTGTCGGGTATGAGAATGTGAGGACTAGCTAAGTCCAGTTCATTAATAACTCTTAACTCACTCGCTCACTCTATAATATTAAAATGTTTGTTCATATGATGATAGTTTCTTGGCTGTTAATTTTTTCTTTTTGCTTTTATTGGACCTGTAGGCTTATCATATTTACACGGGTCTTCCATTGGATCCCACCCTGAGCCTGTTAATCCAGTTCACATTTTGCACCTTGTTTATTCAAGATCCATTTTAATATTGTTATTTTCTGACCAAAGCTTTATGTACTTTCCTCATATTTTATATGGGTGCTACATGACCCATTCTATCTTATGTGTACTGATTTAATGATGTAACGATATTAGGAGAAGAATACAAATTATGATGCTCATTATACACACTACACTATACCGTACTATTCTTTTGTAAGACCGACCACCAGTATAAGAAAAACAATAAAAAAATGTATGCAAATTCTGATATGTGGATAATTGCACATTTTTCTTTTGCTAAGATGCAAAAGATTTGTCTATAAAGTGGTAACAGACAGACATGGACGTGTAGATTCAAATGTGAAATGTGTTGGAATATTGTTACGTAACTGGAAATGCTTTGTCATGGAACTGTGCATTCAGTGCTTATCTTCAGTTTCAAGACCTACTGTTAGTGGCGTGCTCACTTGATACTTGAGAAAGCGAAAAATCACTTAATATGGTGGAAATCTGTAGAGACACTAACAATAGGGTAGGTAACACTGTAGCAGTTCCTATAATATAGACAATAATAGAAGGGTAACACAGGCACTTAGTATAGCAGAAATGGACACACTAACAGAAGGATAACACTATAAATTTAACTTTTCTTCAAGATTTTAATTCCAACTCTTCAGTATGTGACTTTAACTCTTGTGGTGGCTAAATATAATTAAATCCTTTATGTAATCAATCACATTATTGTAGGGGAAAACTCGCAACATTTTGGAGACTGACGTAGGAAGCAGATATATAGTCTGAAACATTGATTGCAGTCGGTTGCTTTAGAGGATTTTATTGAATTACACACTTAAATATGAAAGATATGTGTGTAATCCCACAAGGACAACTAGTCAGATAGTCTTCAAGCTTTTAGGCATTCAGGCTTGAATTTGGTTACAGAAAGTCTGCTGAGAATACTATTACATATGCAACAAACATGTTATTGTTCTGCATTATTCTTTTGTTACTTTTGTTCCTCTTCCATGCTCATTTACTGTTACAAACTCTTAGTATAAGTATAAATTATAATTATGTACTGGTTTGTGCACTGATATAGGAATTAGCAGCAGTATAGGTCACGCAGGTAGTGGTGGCTCCTAAATGCACGATCTGTAAGCCGAGAGAGGGGAGTTCAGTAGTAGTGGGGGTCGCACAGCCTCAGCTACGGTGACACATTGATCTAAACACAGCTAGAGCTACGAACCAACTGAAGCTGACACCCCTCTAGCATGTGCTTCGGATGGGTCTATCTCATAGGACCAAAATCAGCCCTTTACGCAAGTGCCAGAACTCCTCACTTGGCCTCTGTATCTTGAATTTTAAGTTAGCATTCAGATGTCTGAAGCTCCACAACTGAAATCTCTTGTCTCAGAATACTAGACTGTTTGCCTTCAAAAGACAGTATTGATTGCATATTTCTAATAATCAGTTGAAATGTTAGTTTTGAAGCTTTAACTGAAAATTAATGCACTAAAATCTTGGGTAATAAGCAGCAATTATGATGCCTCTTCCTGATTGGTGAGCTGGTTAATAAGATGTTGGGTCACTGCTCAGATTAACTCCACCTTCTGATGACCAAAATGCCAATTAGGAAGAGGCATTATATTGACAGACTGGTGTATGTTGTAAGTGATTTGTGATCATCCCCCACATTCACCCCATTGAAGACAGAACAGTAAGTTTGTAACCAATTCTTGATGCAGCTGATCACCTGAGAAGATTTTAATGAAATGAACTTTTACTCTTTTTAGGGTGTTAGTCGTCCTACCAGGTATCATGTGTTATGCAATGATGACAATCATATGACAAAAAATGAAATTGAAGAACTTACATATTACTTGTGTCATATGTTTTCACGTTGTACACGGAGCGTGTCATACCCAGCACCTACATATTATGCACATCTTGCTGCTTACAGGGCTCGTGTGTATCTGGTGGGCTAAGTATAAAGCACAGTTTCTAAAACCTCAGGAAAGTTATAAACATATGCAGTGTGAAGTAGGTTACTCTAAGACAGATTTTTTGCTCAACATTGTCACCAAATTCACCTTCAAACTTTTACATCAGTTAATTTTATGTTGTTAATACAGTGAATATTTATTTCTGATATCATTATTGATATTACACACCAACAAATATAATATTGTTTTATACCTCACTGTGTACTTTAATACCTTATTGTAATGCAAAATGACAGTTAAAAAGACACAGTTACAGCCGTTAATTATCATTCTCAAATCTGGGAACAAGAATTTCTAGGAAGAATGTAGTATGATGCCTGCTTTTCTTAAAATGCTTTGGTTTATGTATGTTTTTCGTAGGTATCCACCATATTGGCTGCAAACAGTTTTTTACACTTACAGACCCGTGGTTTGCAATTTAATGTAACATATTTTTGTAATAACTGTGTTATAAATTATATTTGTTATTTTTAGGTGTTATGCTTTATTTACTGTACTAATTGCATTACATATCTTTAAGCTACAGATAAATCAAACTAATTTAGGCATAACCTAGAAAATAAATCAATTGATTTTAAGTGCAGTGAAGTGTTCGAGTGTGATACAATAACTTGACATAAGTTAGATCCACATCTCCAATCTGTTCACTGTCATTAATAGTTCTCTTTAGTCTAAGCCTTTGAAACTTACGTAAGTTTTAAGATATGGAAGATGAGTTATCAGGCAAGTGTGGCTCCTGCCAGAAAAAAGTCTGTAAAGGTAGATTATGTGACAACTGTAATTGATGGTTCCACTGGGAATGTGCCAACACCACTGTTAATAATGTAGATGTAGCTAAGCCATGGTTTTGTTTGATGTGTAACCAGGCCAGGTTAGTTAGGGAACAGGAGGAAACTATTTTGGATCTACGGAGGGAGTTGGCTTTGGCATATGATCAGATTGCTAGTTTGAAAGCTGATAACAGCTCTAATATTAAATGTAACTATTCGTCCACTCTTTGGACTGAAGTTAAGGCCAAATCGCAACACAGAAACAAAAGTGTTTGCTCCAGTAAGGGTTCAAACGTTACTGTTAAACTGAGCAACAAATTTGAGGCTTTGACTGTGTCAGAACCTTCAGATGCTGCTCAGTTAAAGGAAAAAGATGAAAACAAATTATTAAGATTAAAAAATGTAAGAAGGTCCTGCTCTTAGGCAGTAGTCATGGTAGGGGACTAGTATCCCTGACCCAACATTTGAACCGGTGGCTCCTGAAGCAGCAATATCATCAGAGTGTTCTCGACCTGAACCTCGAGAACTGAATTCATCTTGAGAATCTTGGTTTGCAGTTTCTGCATCATTACTCTTTGTTGGTGGGGGGATGACTGGTGGTAGGGGTGTCACCAGGGGGCCTGGGGTGATGACTTTCACGTCCGCTGATGTTACTAGCATGGCTGTTGACTGCCAGGTCTGAAATAAGTTTTCTGTTATAATTGCACGTATGTTCTCTGGGTGCTTTTCTTAATTGTGAAATCCCGACTTGCAATTTTAAATCGAACAACCCCTCACAGTTATAATAATAATAATAATAACACAGAGTAATTAAGCTTTTAAGAATACAGTGTTAATTACAGTACACAGTAACTTGAAGGTGCACAGTCTTGCTAGAAAATGTCACAGTATGAAAGAATTATTAATTTCTACAGGCCCTTATCCTAGGTATGTACGTGTATGCCTTCCAAGCCTTCAACAATGCATACTCATACTAAACACAGGGAACCACCCTCTTGAAAACACTACACACAGCAAAAAGTCACAATTTTTTTTGGCAAAGGTAACATATCAAATCTATGGTAAAAGGCAAAGTTCTTCTGGGGCTTAACTAAGCACCACACCAGACTTATGGGGGAGCAATGGTGTAGGTCTACACATTCCTAACTTTGACCCTAGTGGAGGTGAATGATGAGCTTTATTTTCAAGGAAGGAACCCTGGCACCCACCGGACAAGATGCTCGGTGGACCCCACAGCTTATCTCGACATGATAAAGAGAAAAATCCCGCCCTGCAAGGAGTCTAAGCTGCAGCCCAGTCACTAGACTCACTGAATATTTGCAAAACCAAGTCTGGTGAGGAGGTCTTGACACAGTAGTTCGAAACATAAATCTCAATTTGGAGGACTTGTGGAGTACTCACAGGGTCATTCCACTGAGAGTCCTGCGTAGGTTCGTATGAATGATAGTAAGGGTCTGTCTCAGACGCGTAGAACTCGGATCCATACGAGTCCATATGAGGAGGGAAGGTAGGCGGAACGACACCATGTGGAGGGGGTGGCAAGTCAAACGGAGGAATCCCTGAAGTTGGAGGGGGCACAGACATATCAGGGAACGCAGGCTTGCGGCTGTACTCGCGACGATCGGCGGTCATCACCTGGAAACATCGGCAAAAAGGGGTCATGATAAAACTATTCTATCATCATCTATAGCCTTAAATGCCAGACTGGAAATAACCATTTACATCATTGTGTCAGAAAGTAACTTCATGTCACCTGAATAATATTCTCTTTGGGTGGAGTTCCCTTCTCCAAATTCCGCCTTGAAGCCAACCCTCCACCACCTATGACATCAATGGTGCCTCCCATTTTTCGTCCTGGAGGAGGTCCTGCCTTCTTAGGCCCCATGAAACCAGAGTACTTGGAGTTGTCGTTAGTAATCGCTACTGGGATAGTGCCTCGTCCAGCAGTCTGACCTCCAATCTGAGCAAGCCCCACACCAGATTCATGGATACGAATTCGTTTTTGTCTCTCACAATAGGCTCGCCATGTCTCTTCATTGAAGCCATAATTGAAGTAATCTATTGAAGTTTTAGGAATTACATATACCAGATTTTACCTCATTACTAATACAATATGAAGAAAATATATTTAATCACACCATAAATGAATACAGAAAAATGGTTAGGATTCAACCTGTTATGTCAGCTCCAGGTTTCCTCCATGGTTTGTCTTCAAGAGAATCCAAATTGAATTCATGTGCTGGAACCCCATTGATTGTTCCAACAGCTTCAAATTCTTCAATAGAAAATTTCCCTGGTTGCTAAAAACAAAAACACAATACATTTTAATTAGCTAGTTTTCTAACCAGATGCTTCATAATATCCTTTTGTACTCGTGCATTCTGAAAGTTAACTCAGTTTTATAATGAACCAGCCTTAGATGCTCACTGGATAATGTCTCACCACAAATTATATATGTCTTTTGCAAACAGATTCTAATACTTTTTATGCACTATATTAAAACCAGTCTGTGAAGTATGTAAATACTGCTGACAGGGTGGGGACAACTTGCCTTCAATTTCTCACCACCAACAGCTGATGTTAAAAGGCCTCCACGTTTGATATTAAGGCTTGTATAAGTAGGACTTGTTTTAATATCTCCAATCACAACCTGGACGTCATCATCACTGTCTTCTTCATCTTCATCTTCATCATCATCACCATCACCATTTTCATTAGCTGGAGAGCAAAATTGGCGAATAACTTTTATTTGTATACTTTGTCTACAAAAGACTGATAGAAACTCAGTTCTTCCTTAACTTTCCCCTCCTACACCTTTAATCTCCACACACGAGTTCTTTGAAGATGAAAGCAGGTTCACAAACAGTAATTAAATTCACGGACTTTTATATTCTGTCAATATTATCTAATGTCTCTTATTCAAATTATGCCAGTTAAAAAATTAAAATTCTAAAATTTACTGTTTGAGAGACTGTCTCCACGTTCAAGCAAGAGAGTGCCTACTGTGCAGGAACATTAGGTCAAGCTAATCATCAGTGGGCAAAGATGTAGTCAATAAGGTAAACTTATTCAGAAATAGCTAACATTTCCTCAAGAGACATTTGAACTAAACTCATCTACCACAATTTTTGAACTGTCAGATGAGTTGCCTAACAATAGGATGGCTCATAGAACAATTTTACAGAAAACCAAGACCAAAATTTGATAGGTTGGTGAATCTAAAAGCCAATCAGATAAAATGACACAAATGATAAAAATTACAAAAGATGCTAAGCAAATTCTGTGATGTCAACAGTGATTCAGTTGCTCCCACAGATGAACTCTCTCCACGACACTGAGATTAGAAGTAATCAGTACATGTGGGTGTAATTTTACACATAGAGATAATAGGTGGTTGGAATGGGGGTATTAAAATATGTAATTAAAAAGCTAATGAAGATATCAGACTTGTTAAGAAGTGGGAGAACAACGTGCCACAATGTTACGCCAACCTTTTTCTTTTTTTTACGACAAACATCTTGTCATGAATGTGGCTGCCTTCTGGGTTATAGCGCAGTGTAGTCAGGTAGAAGTTTACCAACATTTCAGAGGTCCTTGCTGCCTCCATCATCAGGGCAATACTCACAGACTCAAATCCTACCTATATTCTGTGGTGATTCTGCACACTTTTAACACAGCTTTCCTAACACAGTCTCTCTCATACTTGTTTGGAAATTCAGACATTAGAAAAATACTTCTAACTTGTCCTTCCACTGGAATCACTGATTTTAATTATCAGTGCTTATAGACTGAGAAAATCAAATGTGGCATGCATGATTTGTGCAGCACAGCAAATCTGCACTGAATACCAGAAGCAGGTTGGAACTGCACATCACCTGTTTCTTCTACCCCTGCTTCCTTTCTGGCAGGGGCCTGAAGTTGTTCTTCACCTCTACTTAGCTGGTCATCCTCGTGTTCCGATGGAGGAGGGATAGTCGGCGGTTCTGGTACTGGCAGCTACACGTAAAAACAGTGTACGATAAGACACAAATAACTAACTTTGTCGACGTAAGTAATTTGCCATTCTGGATATGTTTCAACCGTAAGGCACGTTTGAATACCTGATCACTTTCGCCTGTGTTTTCATCCTGTTGCGTAACTTCAGCCGTAGTTTCGTCTGTCGCCTCAGCTTTCTGCTCATTTTTGGTCTCAATTTCTGGAGGTTCTGGATTTGAATCTCCATATAACCATTGATCTTCGTTACAACAATCTTCGGCCATTTTCACGATGTATGAGAAATTTAAGTTTCAATTCAAACTTCAAGAGTAATCTGTGACATTTAAATTAATTCGAAAAGCTACTGAAAAAATAATGAACAATCATGGTTTACAAAATAGCGTTTATGTCCTCCAAATTATATAAAACAATTTATAATGAATGGAACTAAGATCACAGTCTGGAATTTAGTAAATCATACAAAGTCTAATTGTAATTTCCTTGCGCGGTCCCTTTGGACACTCTGACTTATTAATCTTTGAAGATTTCTGTCTTCTGGGTTGTTGCGCTGTGGAATCTCCCTGATGACGGAGGCAGTATGAACTCTGAAATGTTGGTCACATCAAAGTCTACACAGAGTAACAACCCAGAAGACAGAAGTCTTCATACTCACCGCTGTGAAAACCTCAAATCTTACTTATTAATCTTTGTTACACGTATTATACCCATAGTTCAACATCCGCATTCTAGTTTGGTCGTCGGAAAGGTGGGGTGACTAAATTTTAAGACTGTTGTTAGTAGATCGATTTCCATCTCATGTTGTAAATTTTAACATTTTAATTGAAATGCACATCTGCATTACCACAGATTTATTTGTCTTTATTGTTTTGGGTGTGTATTATTTGCGTGTCATCTGAAAATTGAAATGGGTAATGTATTTTGAAACACGTATGCCCCATGTGCTTAGCAATTAAGGTTATTGTTTATATTGTTTTCGTTTATTTCACCGTATAAATACAATTGTTCTAGTCAAGGATGATGACTAATATTATTCTGAATGTTTTTTGGAGATTGTTAATCCCATAGCGTTCTGAACTTGACTATCCTTATGACGAGGTCATCGCGGTTTCTGATATATTGATGGGATTCGCCCTGCAGTTTGTGGTTGTAAAAATATTTTCTGCCAGACACATTGAAGGTGGCTAAGGAGGCCGAATTTCTGAGAAAATAATTGACATGTTGGTCGCAGTTGTGATACCATGGATATGACTTCAGTAATCGTTACCACATTCAAGTGCACTTCTTTTAATAGTACTATGCATTGAATTTCTTCCAAAGGCATATCCCGCGACCACTGGCATAAACGGCGAGCTACAGGTGGTAAGAGGAAGCCTCTTCGCAAGAAGAGGAAATTTGAGTTAGGTCGGCCAGCAGCAAATACCAAGGTAACGAAGCATCATATATAATTAGTTTCCCAAAGTTCCTGTGTTGTAATAGGTGAAGATAACTTTGGCAAATGATGACCAAGCATTAGTGCATCCCACTGATTATTTCGTGAGTGTTTTATCACCTCTAACGTCCTGAAGCCAACTGAATTAGTTGTCAGAGTTAATGGCTGTAATACCCATTTTTGTGATATATAACCACAATTGTTACAGCTTGGTCCCGAACGAATCCACACAGGACAAGAGGTGGCAATAAGAAGTATCGTGCTCTGCGATTGGATCAGGGAAATTTTTCCTGAGGTTCACAATGTAAGTGCTTTTTTGTTGTGATTGATATTATGAGTATTTTATTAAGTTTACCACGAGTGCCATTTTGGATCATTTGTGTGCTTGTAGATAAATAAATTGCAGAACATAGAGATGGGTGGCATGGCAGTGATGATGACGACAAATTTACCCTTACCTATTTTGATAATTTATTGATGAAACTTGTTCCGTAACTGATTCTGCCAGTAGGTACTATAGGAGTAACTGCAGGTTAATTTGTTTTTCTTACCTTGTATGTACTGTACCTGAATTTGCTTTGGTGTCTTTTGTGCAGGCTGCACTCACAAAACCAGAATCATCAGAGTCGATTACAATGCCTCGAATAATGAGCTGGTGCGTACACAGACACTTGTGAAGAATGCCATTGTCACGATCGATGCTACACCATTTCGTCTGTGGTACAAGTGCCATTATGGCCTGCAATTTGAATGGATGAAGAACCTTTTGTCGGTAAGCGTATATCTTGATCACGTGTGTGTGTGTGTCCTTTGTTTTTCACTTCATGTGTCATATTCCACACATTCATTGCTGAACATGTCTGTACTACATTACAGTGTTTTTACAGAGGCTGTCAGACCAGCATCTGGCCGGTAGTCTCTTAATATGCATCATAGATTGCGGCAGTGCTATATTTTATCTGTCAATTGCTTGAAAGAAAACGTTCAAATACATTGAACATTTTCTCTCTCTCCACGCGTGTTTACACGAGTACTGCTGCTTATTCTCTGTTCTTTTAGAGTGGGTGAGCCTGATTGCCTGAGCAGAGGAACTTGTTCTTTGCTTATTATTTGCTGTGATTTTTGACAGCTGAATGTACATTTAAGACTTCGCATTCCATTTTCTGTACTGTGTTTATTGGAGACACTGCTGAAAAATTCAGTTTTACATGGACAGGTGGTAGAAAAAGGCAGGACTTTGAGAAAGACTTGTTCTGCAGTTCTGCTGCATTGCAGATCCAGTCACGCTTTTTAGATAGAGCAGGAAAATACTCCCTGAAAGTGTTCTAGATGCCACACATGCAGAGCATTGTCCTTAATTTCACCTTCAACCCTCAACCTTGAGATTGCATTCAGAGAGAGCTGTCCGTGGTGGAAATGCAACTGAATTGACAATTATCTGCAAAAATTTACAGAAATTGGCCATGAACTTTTCAGGTTTTCCAGATCAAAATTTGTGTCTAACGTTAAGTGGGTTGTGCGACTAAGTATAATGAATTCTTGTTGGCCTACCAGCCGTGTAAGGTGGTTTAATGGAGAAAACGCCAATGTTTCGAGAACCATCTTCATCCTTGTTCTCAGGGTACTCGGCCCTGAGGATGAAGATGGTTCTCAAAACATTGGCGTTTTCTCCGTTAAAGCACCTTACACGGCTGGTAGCCCAAGCAAAATTCATTATATTAAGTGGGTTTCTTGTCACCTTAGCATGGCTTATTCTTGGGTAGTGAGTTGAAGAGAGTATGCTGGTATGAAGGGCGGGGCACTCGTGGGAGGTCGACAGTGGGCAGGTCTCTGGCTCAGGGGCTCTGTGAGGACCAGCAGATCCTCACTCTAAAGATTCAGCATGTTGGAAAGTGTAATAAGATATTGGTGGATTCTTTGGAATGATTTGAGCAATGGAAAATGGACATGGGATTTGGAACTTTGAATGTTCTTGGAGAATGGTAGTAAGAGAATTGGCATGCAGAATGTTCTGAAGCAAGGATGTGACTTACCACCATTGCTTATTTTTATTCAAACAACTTTGGCAGTCTGATGATGATTCCATTATTCATGCGTGTCATCTGAACACCTGATTATAAATATGGTTCTGATGTTGCCAATATAATAATTTCATATTGCGTAAGTGTACAGTGTTTATTTTGGAGGATGTAAACTGCAAAGTACTGCTCTTTCTAAACAGAAGAGGCATTAAACACCCATTTAACTGGACTGAAGATTACTTGTTTGGTTGTTTTATCTTGGTGAAACACGTTTTGGAAAAAAATCTGTTGTCATTTATCACCAAATTCTGTATACAATGAAACACTTCATTTATGAATGCTACGTGCTTCGGCTGTTGGGTCTTCGCACTTCGAGAAACTAAAATCTCCTTCATTCACATTCAGATGCGTACCTTCACCAGAAACTGTTTACTCTAAATAAGAGTTATTTTCCAAGCGTGACTACAGTTTTTCATTAACTGCAGTCACCATTTCCCATCACCTCTGCTTGCGCTCTGCTTATTTAAAGGCATATTTGATGTAACAACTTGGTGTGGAACTGTAAAAATTAACTTTTTTCTAAAAGAAACACACTGGCACAATTTTTGCATCAAAAGAATGCCACACTGGAATAAAATTTTCCACACTGCCACTTTTGACGATCATCACAAAAACCTTCGTTCCACAGTTGCGGACTGATGTCGAAACCCAAGCCACTTGTTTAGACTACTGAAGATGGTAGCCCCCTCTCAGTTGATAATATGAATGTTGCAGCACTGCGGGATATAGAGCTCTGATGCATTGGGCTACCCCAGAGGGTGGCTAACATGCAGTGCACGCAACACCATAAAGCATGAAAATGTTAGACCAGAAACATGATCTTGAAACCAGTGGCTTTCTGAAGGAACAACTTATGGACTCAATACTATTTTACCCAGCATTAATACTGTTTATATACACACTCAAAAGTCAATATAGAGGAAAGACTTTGCACAATTGTTCCCTTTCAGAATCATCTTTCATTTAATTTCAACTGAAAATTATCTGTTTGTTTCCATGCCCATTCTCCCGTGTACGCTTTGAAGAGAGCACATATACGTGCTATCTTTCTACGCTGTGCGAGGGTTTCCCAGTTTGAATCGCTCTTATGATGTGCAAATTTACGTGCTTTCTTTTGCACCCGTTCTAACTCAATTATCTGTTCTTCCCATGGTCTTTGCTATCCAGCCATCTCTGTTGTATTCAATTTGCTACACTGGCATATCTCAGACCAAAGATCATGAAGCTGCTGTGTTCACCAAGAAACGGTCAAAGAACGTGGAGAAGAAATACAAAGTCCAGGAAAGGTTCGCCAAAGTAGAAAGGGCTCTTGTGGAGCAGTTCCTGAAATCATGATTACTTGGTGAGTAACTGATCAGTGCAAAGCACTTCCATGTTTTCTGTTCATTTTGATGATAGAACTACACGGTTTTACATAAATATAGACAATTTACATTTGTTTATTGCTTCTTTATGACACCTCTTGAGAAACATTATTGCTGATTATGAAAACGGTCGCCTGCACCATTTTACATTTACAGATCAAAATTACATTAACCTGTGAAAGATTGTACAACTTCGTGACATTTGCAGTTAATTTTACACTTCGCGTGATTTCTTTTATTTAAGGTCTTGCTGTTTCTAAATTCTGACATTCTAGTGACAATTTTTTTACGTGATACATCTTCTCAGTCATTAGTCTTCTTACATAAACGTGGTGTACATGGTAGAATTTTCTTGCTCATTCTGTTCATCACTTTTGTACACATTTGCGTTCCTTATCATTTACACGCAGTGATGTAAATCTTGTGCTAGATCGAGTTATGGATGTGAATTGTTTTTATTCTCACCTTTGATCGATGTTGCATTTGTCATAGTTACTCTGAGCGTGTTTAGCTGTACCTGTTCCGTTTTGTGCGTTGCATATTGCACATTTTTTCCCCCCCATACATACTATGTATTTTTGAGTCCCTTCTTAATATTTCTCTTTTTTCATTGAATTTTATACCTTAGGCCAGTGGAGTCCAACCTGTACTATGTGAAGCTACTATCGGGAGTTCAGAACATAAACGCAGGCACACGTGACCCAAGCGTTCAACATCTTTCCATATCATGTTGTCACTTTGGGGGTTAGGGGCCATGAAATTTGAGGCATAGTGTCAGTAAAGTAACATCAAACATTCTAAATGTGGAATATCACAGACATGTTTATGTAGCATAATCTCATTTTAATGATATTAATGGAAAGGATTGAGCTGGCAGCATAAAACGTGTTGACGGCAAAGACTTTCAAACTAAATTTTGATTATTTTTTACGTAGGCAAATTAATTTCTCTCGCATATGAGTAAATGGTGTACTGTGAACAAGGTAGCCAAAAGTTCAGATAAAACAAAACATTTTTGACAAATAATTCACCACAAAGTGCATTAGGGATAGGTTATAAAGTAAGTTCTTCAGTGGACCAACAAAAAGAAATCTTTGGGAAAATGTATTTTTTTTACACTGTGTTATTGTGGTCCAATATGTTAATATCTGTTTCACACTGCGTGTTGAATGCTTTCAGCTTGGATCTCCAGCCGCCCAGGTCAGTGTGGTCGAGCCGATGGCTACATATTGGAGGGAAAAGAACTTGAATTCTACATGAGAAAGATTAAAGCAAAGCAACTACTATGTAGTAGACTCTTGTGATTGTTGAGAGGGTCTGAGAAGTAAAATCCTTTGTCAGACAACAAGATGGATGTCTTTAAATCGAAACCTTTGTACCTCGTGTTGCCAAGAAACCAGAGTCAGTAATATTATGAACCAAAATTTTACATTCTACAATAGAAAACTATCTGCAATATCAACATGTGTGATCCACTGTTGGACAGCCCTAAATTTATAGTTTTGCTGTTAAAGTATGGAGTTCTGTTTTACAGTAGCCACAAATCTTTTGTATCTTTTAGACGGGTGCACAAAATATTCTGAACTGCACGGTAGCAAGGAATCCATAAATTTAGTGTACTCTTAATATTTTCATGAAAGACATTCACAGATGCCACGTTTTCAATATATTTATTAGCTGATTTCGTCGTTTCGTCTTGTGACAGGACATTGACATGTTAGTCTTTGTGTTTATTTCCACACCAGCTTTCTTCTAATATAGCTTCTGTGTTTTTCTGTTTGGTATTTATGCTTTCACCCAATTAATTATAATTAGCATGGATCAGAAGCCGGTGTTTCTCACTGTTTACCACAACTTACGTGATGGCATATTCATAATATTACTGACTCTGGTTTCTTGGCAACACGAGGTACAAAGGTTTCGATTTACAGACATCCATCTTGTTGTCTGGAAAAGGATTTTACTTCTCAGACCGTCTCAACAATCACACAAGAGTCTACTACATAGTAGTTTCTTTGCTTTAATCTTTTCCAGGGCCCAGATCCATCAAACCAAACTCACACTTTCTCTCTTTACTTTCTCTCCCTCTCCCACGCGCTACCATTGGTCCACTACCAAGCCTGCTCCCATTGGCTCGGGGCAGGCTACACCTTTCACTTTCCGACCCTATAAACCTACCACCTTACACCCTTTTGGCATATTCATCGCCCTGATGACGGAGGCAGTACGACCTCTGAAACGTTGGTAAACATCGACCAGACTACACAGCGCAAGAACCCAGAAGACGGAAATCTTCATACTCATCGCCCTGAGGACGGAGGCAGTATGACCTCTAAAACGTTGGTTAACATTGACCAGACTACACGGCGCAACAACCCAGAACACAGAAATCTTTATACTCATCGCCCTGATGATGGAGACAGTATGACCTCTGAAATGTTGGTTAACATTGACCAGACTACACGGCGCAACAACCCAGAACACAGAAATCTTTATACTCATCGCCCTGATGATGGAGACAGTATGACCTCTGAAATGTTGGTTAACATTGACCAGACTACACGGCGCAACAACCCAGAACACAGAAATCTTTATACTCATCGCCCTGATGATGGAGACAGTATGACCTCTGAAATGTTGGTTAACATTGACCAGACTACACGGCGCAACAACCCAGAACACAGAAATCTTTATACTCATCGCCCTGATGATGGAGACAGTATGACCTCTGAAATGTTGGTTAACATTGACCAGACTACACGGCGCAACAACCCAGAAGACGGAAATCTTCCTATTTATTAGCTGATTTCGTCTTGTGACAGGACATTAACATGTTAGTCTTTGTGTTTATTTCAACACCAGCTTTCTACTAATATAGCTTCTGTGTTTTTCTGTTTGGTATTTATGCTTTCACCCAATTAATTATAATTAGCATGGATCAGAAGCCGGTGTTTCTCACTGTTTACCACAACTTAGGTGATGGCATATTCTAAAGAAAAATTTAAAAACAATGGTGGTTGTAGTGCACTGGCATAGGGTGGATTATACAGTGAAACCTCGATGCATCGTTTTTGGCGGGGGGGGGAAATAAAAACGATGAATACGGGAAAACGATAGTTGCGGG